GAGTATTCCCTGAGGATCTTTGGAAACATGTGGAGTGGGGAACTGGGGGGGGAAGGGGGCTGCTGGATTTACTGCATGTGGAATGGAATTTCTTCAGTTGGGCATTAAAGGAAAGGATTACCCTTAATGCTGAAAAACTTGGGGACAGCTGGATAATACTGGTAACCTTGACTTGGGAGACACTAGACTTGGTGCTGGGGTATTGGTGGCCCCCATCAAAGGGGGAAGCAAGCGGACGTGCTGGCGGCATCCGCGGGCTCAATCCCTCCTGTCTCTGGAGGAGATCAGGAGCACCTGTGCTTGCCTTTTATCTCTGATTTCAGGGGGCCCGCTCAAATGCACAAGCTGATTCTCAAAGCCAAGTACAGGGAAACGCCAGGTGTCTCTGTCAGGTATCAGGGACCTGCTCACTGACAGCTGTTTTGTCTTTCCAAGGCTTTGCTCTAAAAAAATGACCTGTTTGTAAAGGGCTTTCCCTCCCCCCAGCCTTTTCTGAAATACAGTGATACATCACTGGCTTCTGTATGATCCCCCACCTCGCCTTTCCCCCTCCAGCGTGACCTCCTCAAAGCCATTCACACCCTGCAGGCACAGTGACTCCTGTTTAAATGCAGATCCAATCCCGTCATGCCCTTGCTCTGTGCTCCCAACTGCTCTTGGGGGGGGTCAGAGCCCGAGCTCCCCACTCTAAGTGTCTAGGCCCCAGGCGATCTCACCCCTCCCTTTCACTCCAGCTGCTCCTCATGACACTCCCCCTCATTCTCTACTCTCCAGCCAGTTTTTCCAACAAACATGTTTTTCCCCACTTGAGGGCTCTTGCACAAGCTGCTGACTTTGTCTGGCATGTTCACCTCCCACCCTTCACCTCGTTTATTCATCCTTTAGAGTTTCCCTCCAGAAAGCCCTCTCTGGTCCCTGAGGCTGGGTCGGGTGCCCCTTTATTTCACTCCTTTGCCTTTCCCTTCACAGTGCTCAGCTCACTTTTGGTTTCGTGTTCACTGCCTATGATCAGATCTGGACTGTGAGCTCCACCAGAGCAAACATGGTGCGTGGGGAGCCCATCACCTGACAGATGTGCCCACTGATCATCTGAGGGCCAGGGTGGAGACAGCCCCCACCTTGCAGAGGGCCTGAGTAAGAGCCCCCCAACTCACCCTGCTGTTCCGAGGGCTTAGGGCATCAGTATAAACACTTCTTTGCGATCAATGACCACTTCTCTTTTAAAGTCCTTTTAGAAATTCAACAGTACAGTTCTGTTTATTTTATACTCAGAAATGACTTGCCTTTATTTTAAACTTCAGAGTTCACCTTTGAAAATAAAGGCTTACTTTTTTAAAGGAAATGTTTGCTTATTTGAAGGAATAGCTTAGGTCCTAGCTACTTACTTCACATATGAGAAGTCTGAGTAAACTTACCAAGAATACCTAAATGTTCTCTTAAGATTCAGAACTGTCAGAATGCCTAATTTTTGTTCCTTGAGAGATCACAATTTTCCACACTGCTTATACTTTTAGAATCAGCCTAAACCTTTTAAAATGCATTACATTCCTAATTTTATCTAGCTATTTCCTGGAAGGGATTATAGGTAGTGAAAACCACTCTCTAAGTCAATGAAGCTATTTAGAAACAAATGGCATAGCCATTCTTCACAGCTCTTTGCCTGCTTTTGTCATCACTTCTATCTGAACTAGGCATTTACAAGTTGCCATCAGATAAAAATTAAGCCACAAATAACCCACCTGACTATTTCCCACCACTATTTTTACATTTGAAGTAATTGAAAAGAAAGTTTTTGATACAAAGAGAGTCTTATTTTTAAAATGTAGTTTTCCTCTCAGTGTTTTTTAAATTATATTTCAGGAGGAACTCAGTGTAGCAAAACTTTCAGTTCAGGAAATTTGCAACGAAAGGATTTGGAATACACACCCACACGGTTAATGAGAACTGCTAGTACTATGTGAGGGCATCTTTCCATAGAGAAAGAGACACATGTTGAAGAGTCCCAAGAAACCAGTTAGCATAGAAGTTTAGGAGAATTATCACAGAGTAAAACCCATACTTGCTAGGAGAGGCAAATAACTACTCAGGCAGCACTCAAGGTCTCAAGCAGTGGAACTAAAGAAGCAGCTGGAAATACCAGGGAATGACCCAAATCACTCCCAAAGAATAGCTCCCTCTCCCCCAGGGAAAATCCTGCACGGAGGACTCTGCCAGGGGAAAAAATGGTTTCAGACATTCTTTTTCTATATTGTACTTTCCAGAAATTACGTAACGATTCCTCTCTCGATAAACAAACTCGTTCCTGGGACAGGCTGGATTTTCAAGAGGAGTCCAGTCCTAAAACCACAACCTAGATTTGGTCAGCGTCTATCCATGGCAGTCAGACTGCAGGTAGGGCTCCGAGCTGCCCTCGGGTGGATGGCCCCACTGAGACTCAGAATGGGATCTTGCTTCATTCCTTTCAAAGAAGCTATGGCAGCTGCGACTCCTGTATATCTCAGAAGTTGTTCTGATGTATGAGAAATGCAGTCCAATGGGCTGAGGGGATCGGGAAATCATCATAAGGCTAAAGAGGCAGCAGAAGGCAGGTACTGGGCTGGCTTATGGCAGAAGCAGGAGGGCCTTGCAGGAGAAGGAGACCTACATGGAGTCTTGCGGGAAGCCCCTGCCATGAAGATGCAGTGATCAAGGACGAGGGCTGCATCTGTCCACTCAGTGGCTACCTGTCCACTGCAAGTCTAATGAGAGCTTTTGTGGTGATGCACAAGAAGCCTCTGGCCAGTGGCCTGACGACGGGACTCATCTGTAGTGGGGGCCTGGGGTGCATGTGCTTGGTCAGATGACAAGGGGCGTGGGTCAGAAAGGGGCGATGGTATTGGTCCAGTATGCCTTTGGCTGAGACCCATGGACTAATGCCCTCGGAAACCCAATACAGCACAGCACCACTTTGTGGTCGAAGAACAGAGAGTGTCACAATTCATCCCACTTCACACAGTGCCCAATGGAGGCCACCCACAAGTCATAAATGGCAGGGGATGTACAGGTGGCAACGACAAGGAAGGAGCAGGAAAATAATGACTTGGACAGTAGAGGTGGGGAGTCAGGAGAGGGCAGTGTCAAAGGCTTAGGGCTTCAGCCAGACCACAGGGCAGAGTCCTGGCTCTGCCACTCTTCAGTTATGTGGCCCTAGGCAACATCTCAGCACCTGCTTATTCACTGGCCACTGTGGGCACTCACTGCAGTAGTGCATTAAAAAGCCTCACAAAGTGCCAGGCAGAGAGAAGGCAGAGAATACAAGGCAGCTCTGGTGAGTACATCATTAAGGATCCTGGAGCACGTGCTAACAGAACCAGTGGACTGTACTTGCTGCCCTCCTCCTAACACCATCAATCTCAGTCCTCAACTGATCAGCCTCTGGCAAATGGGATGGGCTTGGGAGTGATCCATACCAACATGCCCTCCACCTGGGGTCCAAGAAGGGGATTCCCAGTCACCCAGCAGAAAGACATGGCAGTTTACAGCCAGCCATAAGAGGAGAGGGGGAAAAGACAAGAAAATGTGAAAAAAGAAAGCATAAGATGATACACAATCCAGTAATATGGCTTAAGACTAAACAAATGTGAGAATTTTACTCCCCTACTAAAAAGCAAGGTCTCTCATATTGGGTTCAACTAAATGCTGTTTTCAAGGATCACCCATAAAACAAAGCCAATTTAAAACATTAAAATCTAAAATATAGTCAAAGATTTATAAAATGAATGCAAAGGAAAAATAAAACACTTCACACACTTAAACATTTCAAAGAATAAAAGCAAATAATAAATGTAATCCAGATGATTTTGTAGGGGACACTTAGAAATGAATCGACAACTTTGTAAACTCGTATGTACTAATGCAGGGCAAGGGGATTCCAACATATAGTCCTGTCCTTAGACAAATATTAATTAAGTTGTCAAATATTAATAATTTGAATATTATAATTTAGTAATTATAAGAGTAATTTGAGAAATTACACCCTTCTTTTCCAACACCCGGGAAACATTTACAAAAACTGATCTTATATTAACCCACAAGACAAATAAACATTTTGAAAAACCTAGAAAGCATATATGTTATATATTCTAAACCAATGTAAAAAGTTAAAGACTATGTTTTAAAAAACAAAAGCCTTTCATAGCAGTGTTATGCATAATAGCCAAAAAGTAAAACCACCCATATGTCCATAAAATGGATAAATAAAATGTGGTGTGTCCGTACAACAGAATATTATGTGGCAATAAGAAGGAATAACCCAATAATAACAATTCTAGGAATTTATTGTAAGGTAATAATCATAACTATGTGCAGGAAGTTTGACAACTTAGATGTCAATATTAGAGAGCAGATTCGAGTTTGATTGGATTGAATCACAGTATAGAAACGTAAGATATAACATTAGATGTTCACAGTAGAATAAAAATATATTTTTTAAATGCACTCAAATGAATGAAAAGATATGAAGCAAAACAGAATCATCTCTAGGTGGGATAACGAATTATAGTAACTTTCTTCTCTTCCTAATTCTTTGCAATAAACGTGTATTATTTTCTAATCATAAGAATCAATAATCATTACTATACTTTTGTTCGTACAAATCTTCTAAAATATATTAATAATGCCCAGAGAACCAAAACAGGGGTTTGGGCCCGAGTTCCTCAGTTGGGGAGGATGTGGCTGAACCCATGAGAGTCTTACGACCCTTCTGGGATGCAGGCTGGGAGGCTTGGGATTCACAGGTCTCTTGTGTGGGAAGCAGATTATCCCTTGTTCAAGGCCGCCATCAAGGTCCCTGTACTTGGGAAGTATCAATAGCCCGTTTCAATCCAAGGAACCAACCAATTAATTACCTCTTTATCCATGGCCCATGATGCTTCCTGGAAGAGTCTCAACTAGAAACTATAAAAACATCTTACTTGGCACTGAAGAGTCTTAAAAAATAATAAGCCAGTTCAGACTCCTACCTAGATAGGGAATACTGGGAACCATCTTCAGGCTTCGGATATACTCCCGAGTCCGCTTGTAATTATCTTCTTTAGACATCAGGTAGTCCAATTTCTCAAAAGTGGTCTTGTCTTTTCGATTCAAAAGCTGAGGTGAAAAGAACACATAGGTATGAGAAAGAAGAGAAACAAACCAGAAGAAGCTAGAGAGAAAGGATAACTGTAGGCAGAGACTAAAGGGAAACATCTGAACGGCGTGTCTGTGCTGTAACAAATCCTGAGCACAACTAAAGCGTCTAAGAGGCAGCTTCATGCAGAGATGGAAAGTTTCACGGCCTCAGTTTATCATTTTTCATAGACTCTCATGCTTGGAAGACAGCCTCTGGAGCTACCTGGTCCACTGTTCTAAATGATGCCAGAACTCCCCACATAGTACTTGCCTCTGTGATGTACAGACCCTAGAACAGCAAGGAGCTCAGAGAGTAAAGCAAACTGTTCCATGTCGCAGAGTAATTCACAGCCACATCCGCCTCTCTACCTGAGGTCACGGCTACTTGCTCTCTCTTCAACATCTCTGCCACTGCCGAAGGCCCAGGGGAATTTCACACGTTTCACCTGCACGTGTTGTGCCATAGCCAGGGTGTCTCTCCAGTCTAGGCTACCCTCCCCAGGTTCCCTCTAGTCTATGGCTGTGTCATAATTACACCAGTTATGGTATTTTAATCAAAAGAAACCAGGCTTTTTATCCATATATAGTCATCTAAGTGATGACTTAGTTAAGAAAATAGAGGAGGAGCAGGTATCCATGGCCCAGAGATTAGAGAACCGAGATCTTTATGACTGAGATCGCTGGTATGTAAAGCAGTCAACAGGGAAGGATGGTCCAGTGTGCATAAGGAAGCTGTTCGGAAAGAAGGCATAAAAACCTGAATGTTGTGGTCATCCTGCATGTCCCAGGTCAAGGCCCCATGCCAGGAAATGGCAGTACGTCTCCCTGAATAAAATAGCTTTGAGGAGAGGAGCCTATGCTGGGAGAACAGGCTTAATAAGAGGATCTGGGGGAGGGTCACTCAGGGAGGGCTGGCTTTGGCACAGCACATGGCTCCCCCAAGTTTAGCTTCCAAGACCCAGTGCCTCTGGGATTTTAGGTTAATGACTGAGTCCAGGACTATAAATGGAGAGGGAACTTTGAAGCATCCTTGGTCAAGTTTGGTGTTGAGACCTCAATGGTCTGTACAAGAATTTGGACCAGCCGACCTGCCACATTAGTCAGACTGAGGTGGGCCAGTGTTCAACAGCCCCATCAAACAGCAGGAGCAGAGGAACAGGGCCAGGGGAAGTCCAGCACCAGGAGAATCAGGCCTTTCATACCAAGGTAACCCCTTTAAGTTACTTTAGTACAAGTGCAGGGCAGTTCCCGAGACCTGGGTCTGCAAATCCCAGAATCAGGCCATGTCTGTGCATCAGGGTGCCTGGGTCGCCACGGGCAGGTCCTGCCCAGCTCCTTGACCCTCAGCCTCTGGAACCACAGAGGAGACATCTGGCAACATCTGGCTGAGCAATGACAGCTTAAGGGCTTCAAGGAGCAGAGGGAGCCCTAGCCAGTCTGCTCAGTGGTTAGAGCGTCGGCCCGAGGACTAAAGGGTCCTGGGTTCAATTCTGGCCAAGGGCATATCCCCCGGTTCGGGTGTGTGCAGGGGGCAACCAATCGAGGTGGCTCACATCGATGTTTCTCTCTCTCTCTTTCCCCCTTCCACGCTCTCTGAAAAGCAATGGAAAAAAATATCCTTGGGTGAGGATTTAAAAAAAAAAGAGGAGGAAAGGAGAAAAAATAAGCTAAAAGGAAAGTCTCAATGCTGAAGTTAGAGAGTAAACATCAAGTTGTTTTTTTCCTATTGAGAAATTCAGGACATGTCAGGGTGGGGATGCTACACAGATGCTAGGACAACGGCTGCTCAGCTGGCTTGCTAATTTGAGGCTGTAATTCATCACATTAACAAATGGACAGGAAATAACACCATCCCCCATTTGCTATTTGTAAAACTCCATAATATACAACTCATCTGGTCTTTACAAAGCCCAGTGACAAAGATGGGGCCAAGACTACTGCCTCTGTTTCAGGTTCATACTCACTGTCTGAGTATCCTTGGGGAACTCAATTCCATTATAGCAACATAGTAAGTAAATAGAGACCAAGAATCCAGACAAATAATAAGTAAATTATGGGTGAGGGAAGTGTCAAGGAAAGCTAGTGAGAGAGAGGCATTTGAAATGAACATTTGATGAGAAATTCACTAAATGAACAATATATACCCAGATCAGAACGAGATACTATAGTTATGAACTGCCCCATGGAGTAGGCCCCCTCATACCTTTGACTGGAGGTCATCTCTTTATTAATGCAACTTAGAACCCCACCGAATTCTCTGGCAATCACCCATGTTCATGCAGCAGTCAAATCCCGGGGTTACCCTCATGCTCACTGTAGCTGACCATGCCGGTGCCCAGTGCTCACACCCCTGGCTCTATGGACCCCCTGGGAAATTTTCCATGTTCCCTTCCACATTCAGCCTACCTGCCTAGCCTGTGGAGTGCCCCTATGCATGGCACCACAGAGTGAACAGCGTGCCATCTGTGTCCTGACATGGATATGACCAGACCAATATGAGCTTAGAGCCTTGGCAGATGTCCCTGAAAATCGCTCTGCAGATTTGACCTCAAATCAATAACTGGGGTTCTCTGGCAGAGCAGGACAACCAAAGGCGGTCACATCTGCATGCTTCCTAAATTGAAAACCGAGCTCCTCTAGCTCACACCTCCCTCTGTGAACCTTGCCTCTATTCACATACTCCTTGCCAACTCCCCCACCCCTACACACACTCACACCCCCCCAGAAGGGCTGGATCTGGTTAACTTCACTCATCTGCTCCATTCTGTGCCCACAAATGAAAGTCAGGGTCGCATCAGATTTCTCAATCATAATGCACAGGATGACAGAAGACATGAAAAAGCTCAGAGCATCTATTTCCCAATCATGTATTTGAAAACTACTTAAGAACTTCCTCTAGCAAAATAAGGAAATAAACCAAATACAGGATGATATGAGATACAGGACACAGTGAATCCAATTCAGGAGCGATAAAGGGAGTTTCGGGGTGACAAATGAAAGGTAGGCCTTAAGAACTGTCCACATCCCAGAGAAAGAGAAGGTGCCATAGGAAACCTAATAGGACACGCATTTGTTGGAAAAAGATATACTTATTATATATAATAAAAATAAATAAAAAATTTTAAAAGCTTATATATTATATAAAAATCTAGTAAAATATTATATATTTAAAACAATATTAAAATATATAAAATAACATAATATAATGTATTACATATGAAATGTTATACATACACACACAGTTGACCCTTGGACAATGTAGGTTTGAACTTCGCAGGTCAATTGAACTTCACAGGTCAATTGAACTGTGTGAGTCAATTTTTTAAAACCTGTGTATAAGTGGGCCTGCACAATTCAAACCTGCATTGTCAAGAGTCAGCTCTGCATGTGTGTGTGTGTGTGTGTGTGTGTGTAATACCTGGCAGATAAAAGGTAGCTAGAGCAAGAATTTTTTTTAAAGGAAATTTTCTAATTCTAGGAAAACACAAATGTATTCCAGAAAAGACATGTCCTTAATAGTTTACTACTTGACTACAGAGAACTATATTTACACATTCCTAATAATTAAAACACTAAATACTCATTTAACAAGTGATTTAACCATAGTAGCATGAGTGTGTTTGAAGAATGAGGGAAGATGAGGGAAGCTAAACCAACATCGATCATACAAAGAAGTCACCCAATAGTGTCTAAAGTAAACGGATCAAGAAATTTTAGCAAAAGCACAACTGGTGGGAATGTGGCAGAAACTACCGCAGAACCAGCTAATGAATTGTTAGGTGGCTGCCTCTGGGGAATGAATGGGGTGTAGAGAGATGAGTGTTCATTGTTTCACTAAACCTTTCAGTACTTAGTGATTTCTAAAATGAATGTGCATGTATTATGCTGAAAAAAATTCTTTTAAGATTTTTTTAAAATATAGTTTGTTCATTCAAAAAGTAACAGCATTTACTTATACATGTTTTAAACTTTTATTACAGGTACAGCCACAAACTAAAAACCTCATATGAACTGAAGGTCCTTTAGAATTCAGAGTTTACAGGAAGCTTCAGGAAGAAACCATTAGATATATGTACGAGAGGATAAATTATTTGCCTACCTGAGTCAAACTGATAGTAAAGGTATTCAGGTTGAGGAAAAGAGGTAAGGAAATAGGCTTGAGGGAAAGTTCACTAAACACAACAGGCAATTCAGAAGTCTTGGGGCACCCTGAGCTGTTCTTCTACATATTTATTGTGACTGATTGTGCAGTGCCACCTGTGTCTCACTCAGCGGGCGATGCACTCCATGGAGGCAGGGGCGGTGCTGGCTCTACTCACTCTTTGCTGTCCCTGTGTCTACCATGGTGTCTGACTCGAGAAACACTGCCTGGGCATTTGCTGAGTAGGAGAAACAAGAAAGCTACCAATGATAACTTAAAAATCCAACTCCTTGGAAAGCATCCAATAATTCTTGGGGAAAAGAGGAAAAAGCCAAGATTATGGACTATTTACAAACCACAAATAATGAAAACACTATATGTTAAACTATGCGATGAGGCCAAAACTGTACCGAAAGAAAACACATGGTTTTAAACTCTCTTATAATTAAACAACTAAGAATACAAATCAATTAAACATTCAATTCAAGAAGCCAGTAAAATGGGGGGGAGGGGGAATTAATAGGTAAAATCAGAAATTGATATGTTAAAAAACAAAAAACTAAATACCAAACCTATAGAAATGATAACTAAACTCAAGAACTAATTTATATAAAATATCAATAGAACAGGTAACCTCTACAAATAAGCCAAAAGCAAAAATAGACATTAGAATTGAAAAAGAGGTTATAACCACACAAGTGAACTAAAATTACAAGGTAAAAATCAACCCTTGCATACTGATTTTAAATAATTTTCATGGTGCCAAGTGTCAGCTGCAAGGGATACCTGGGACTCATAAATCACAGGGTCAAAAGCCAGGAAGACCACAGACCTTGGT